GAAAAAGTACAGTATATACACATTGGCTTGTGGCCCCTGCACTCCTTTTCACCTGTGACCTTGATCCAGCCTAACCCCAAGGATATTTCACAGCCATACAACACTACCTAAATGCAACAAGGCATAGGTGAAAGAATATTTATTCATGGTGGAGCAAAAGGGTTTCATTCAAAGTGCTGCTTCAGTGTAGCAGTGTCATCATAGTTACATTTCACTATGCCCTCTAGTTTGCTGTTGTTGTTCTGGTATTTTAGCTAAAGAAAAGGAGCTATTTTTGATTTTGTACATCTTGTTGCAATACCAGGTGACAAAAATGCTATGCATTGCTTTAGTTTATTTTATTAGGATATCACAAAATAGATACACATTTACTGCATTCATTGTATTCCAGGTGAGATGCCAGTCATACCTCTACAATTGTGGGATTGCCCGTTGTCCCGGTCCTGTAGAGACTTGCGAAAGAAAATGAGAAATATTCAGGCACGTTACACAAACAACACATATTTCTGCAACACTCTCTCACACACACATACACACATCCCTAAATACTCCTTAATTTTTAGCACTATAACATCGTAATTTCTGATGTTGGGTGAACTATAAGTTACATTTGTTGGTAGAACTTTTTTGAGGTTCTCACCCAAATATTAATAACTTTTACTGAAAAAAGAACAAGCAGAAGGCACTAGTGAAATGATAAGAAAAGTTTCTGTTTACCATAACTTAAATTTTCATTAAAATGCATTTTTCTAACACTCCCCCAAATACCCTTCAAAAACTCCATAAAAAATCCAGCAACGTTTTCTCATTAAATTGACATTGCTTTGTCTCCTCTGCATTTTTTCAGGGCTGTTATCCAATGACAACTGTGGTGGTTTTTTTTTTTTTTTTGTTGTTGTTGTTCATTTTTGTGTGTGTGGTGGTTTCAGCCAACTCAGGCAGTAATTCTTAGTTGGACCTTCAAGAGGCTACTGTAGGAAATTTGGTCAGGCGAAGCAAGTCCAAAGGAGAAGTCCATCTTAGAAAAGAATCCAGGCAAACTCTTCTTTCTGTACAATAATATCTTCCCCAGCCCAAGGCATAAAAGGGCATAGCAAGGAGAATGACAGTGTTAACAAATACAGTCAAATTATTTTAAAATGTTAAAATGTTTTAATTTTAAATATAATTTTAAATTTAATTTTAGTTTGGGAACTGGTCAGCTCATCTTTCCACTGAAGGCCACCCTCAGGAGCAATGAGCCTCAAGCCTTCTGTGGTTCAGAGAGTGGAAAGGAGTGGTGCAGTGGTGGTATGTAATGAGACAATGAGACGATTTTTTTTTTTTCTGTTCTTCTGGAGATGCTGCTGTGAATTCTGTTCCTACTGGAATGGATTTGGCTCTAGAAATAGATCTGGGTGTTTTTTTTTTTTTTTTTTTTTTTTTTTTTCCTTTAAAGTAAATGTTATGTAAATACGTGCTGTCTCCTGGGAAAGCTGTGGGACAAGCTCTCCATCACTCGAGGCTGCACATAAGCTGGCTCCTCTCTCCCCACCTGAGCTGTGATCATTTCTGCTCACTTCATTAGCGCTATGGAAAGAAATAGCAGGCAGCAAGTTGCTGTTTTGTTTTGATAAGTACAGCTTTTATTGGTAAGGGGTCTTCAGTGATGTATGTTGTTAAGCTTCACTAGCCTCAGGAAGGCTCTTGGAGCTTCTGCAGAGATGAGAAATGGTGGCTATTCCCATACCAACACTTCCATTTTCTTGGAAAAATACAACTGAATCTGTAGAAATTTTGCAAGCACAGAGTCCCTTTATTTGTACCAGGACAATTTAATTTTTTTTTCTTTATGAGATCTTGGATTTTCTGTGTCACAGGCTGATCTTTCCTGTCTGTGAGAAGATTTCCATAGATCTTGCCCTAATCTGGGAATGTCTCTGTGCTGAAACAGGCCCAAGTAGGATTGCCATTTGAAAAGCTGGTGGATTAGGAAGGTTTGATTATTAATTGCTTTGATCTGTATTCCCTGACCAAGTCATGAGGCCCAGACCTTTAATGTGGCTATAAAACACAGCGGGTGTCTGTGTGGGTGTGGGCTGACCGAGCCTCGGGCTGTCTGCTCGTGTCCTCCTCCATGGAGGAGGGTGAGCGGGCGGACGATCAGACACGGCCGTGTTACCAGACTGCAACTGCTCAAGCTTCTCCCCAGACCAGCCTCTGGGAAAGAAGCTGACAAGCAGCTGTTGTCCAGGACTTAAAAGAGTGGTAGTGGCATCACTCTACAGACTTTTTCCATCAGATTTCTCTTATTCTCAGGAGCCTGAGATCCCACCACTGTAAGGGTCGTAAGTAACTGGAGGTGTTCTCTGCACTCGACACCGCTGTCAGTCCCTCTGGCAGGACACCGCAGCTGCAGGGATTGCAGGAAGTCTCAGAAACCCTTCCAAGGGTTCGACCTTTCTGCCTTTACCTCTAAGAAACTGCTGAGAGATTTTCAGCAACTGCAGCGGTGTGTAGGGGTGCAGTTCTCTCCTGACTCCACTGACTTTTAGAGGCCTGGAGAAGTAAGCCTGAGTTTTTGAAGTGCAGGACATCAGTGCTCAGCTGAAGCCTTCCTTGTTGCACATTTCTTACTGTGATGAATCACTCCCATGAAGGACTGGGATGCCAATTTTGTCCTGGTTTGTAATGGAAAGGATTTGGAAAGAGATGAGCAGAATCTTTCCTTGACCTATTGTATTGCGATAGATACCAGTGATTCACACAGTGGAGTCAGGGCTGCTTCTTTGAAGGTAGAAGTTGGACGTTGCAGCAGGAAAAGAGGCTGTAACTGTTTTCCTGCAGTTATTAGGTTCTGTATTCTTTCAGTTTTGTGGATACATTCAAAAGGAAGTAGAAAAAAACCTATCTCTAAGGAAGCAAAGATCTTCCTTCCTGTTGGAAAGAGTCAGCAAGGATGATACGTTTCTTGCCAAGTGAGTCATTTCTTCACTTGAGAGACTTCAGTGCTTTAAAAATTGCTTTCCAGGGCATGGAGCTTAGATATGAATTTGTGTGGGCTTTTAATGGATGACATTGATCTTTCCCTTTATGGGAAATGATACAGAAAGATGGCAGGGAAATAAGTGGTTTCGAGTGCCGTGCTGCGGTATTACACCTTCCCTGAACAGGTTTAACAAATACCCTTTTATTGTGTTGCTCCCTGACAAGAGCGAGAAGCAGGTGCTTAGGACTGCTCAATGCTTCAAGTGTTACTTGCCAAACAGTTTACAGGCTAAGTAAATATTTGTAGGATAAATAAAGGAAAAACAGCTTTAGTTTTAGTTTTACTTTGACAGCAGTGCATTTTCTTGAAACACGCCTGGAAATGATGTGACTAAAAGTAGGACTATAACATAGCATTTATTAAGAAGCAGGTGAAGTGACAGCTTTTATGTAGCGCTGTGTGTTAAAGCTCTAGACCCGCAGTGGCTCACTCTTCTCCGTAGCTACTCTTGCTCTTTGAGAAACTTATGAAGACTGCAGGTGGTTTTGTGGTTGCATGAGAGCTGAACTTATTTGCCCTATTGCATTCAACTCAGACAGTTACAGGGAATTAATTGTATATTAATGCTGTACAAATCTCAGGGCATGAACTGAGACAAAAACAGCATTATTTTCTCTTTGTCGAGTATTTGATAATGTGGTAACATGATGATCATGCCTAGAGAAGAGAAGGCTCCGGGGAGACCTTTTAGCAGCCTTCCTGAACCTAAGGGGGGCCTGCAGGAAAGCTGGGGAGGGACTCCGTGTCAGGGGGTATAGGGATAGGACAAGGGGTAATGGCTTTAAACTAAAACAGGGTAGACTTATATTAGATATAAGGAGGAAATTCTTCACTCAGAGGGTGGTGAGGCACTGGCACAGGTTGCCCAGAGAAGCTGTGGGTGCCCCATCCCTGGAGGTGTTCGAGGCCAGGCTGGATGGGGCTTTGGGCAACCTGGCCTGGTGGAAAGTGTCCCTGCCCATGGCACGGGGTTGGAACTGGGAGGTCTTTAAGGTCCCTTCCAACCAAAACCATTCTGTCTCTTAGGATCAGCAGCATACTGTTTTTCCTAACACTTGACTCTTCCCAAATACTGCATATCAATTCTAACTTAAGGCTTTAGGTCCTTAAATACCCAAATATTAGATGATGTGACACATAAGACTGTTTGATCTGAGCATTAATTCCCTTTGCTGACTCTTGGCAATCTTTAAGCCTTAGCTTAGGCAAATGGTCAGCATGGTACATGGTCACAAAGCAAAAAATCCACATGTACTGTGGGTCCCATTTCTGTGGAATAAAAGTCACGCAACACTCGTCCTGTTGAAGCTAAGAAACCCCACCGTGTCCGTGAGCCATTGGCGCTGTGAGCCCCGGGCAGACAGCGCTGTCGGAGGGGCCGGCTGCAGGAATCCCGCAGTCCTGGGGCTGGTGCCTGTCGGAGGACAAGGGGCCCTCTTCGAGACTCCTCTGATTATGGCTGAGCAGAGGGACCGAAGCCCCACTGCATGAACTGGAGTATGCCGGAGTCCTTCAAGAACCTCCAGCTGCCCAAGCAAGGTTGAATTTAAGGCCTTGACAGAGCGAAGAAAAAATTAACAATTCGTTCAGCTCCACCATGAGTCCCATTTATTTTATCTGGAGAAATTTCCTTGTGAGGAAACTTTTCTTCCAAGTGCCATAATTCACACAGAATCACAGAATTTCTAGGCTGGAAGAGACCTCAAGATCATCGAGTCCAACCTCTGACCTAACACTACCAGTCCCCCCCCGAAAATTCAGTCTTACTTAGATCAGTTCCTTACCATTTACGCTGCTCAATGCCTCGTACTGCACTTTTTTTTGCTCCTTTTAAAAGAAGGGACTTCCAAAAGTGCATAATTGGGGTAAAATGCAATTGAACAATGACCATGTTACCATTTACTCACCCGACCCCAGCTCTTAAACACAGGATGCAAACCAGCAGAAAGAATAAGGAACAACACGCACAGAATTCTCTAATATCAAAATATAGCAATTTATTCAAGACACTGAATATGATCTGTTGATTCTCTCCTTAAAACAAATGAGCTACAATACACAAGGTGAATTTGAAGAAAGTGTGGGTGGGGGAGAAACAAAATAAGGGTTGATGTTGTTTCAACAGAACCTGGGAAATGCTGAAATGAGAACCAAGTCTGGCTGCAAGTCTGACACAGACAATAAAAACTGCAGAAGCCAGAATTCAGAATTTCAGTGAGTGGCTGAAAGAACATTTCTGCAATTGACAAAGAACCACATCTTTTAAAAAGGCAAAAGGAGGAAAAAAGGAGGAAAAATTAAAAAGGGAAAAAGAAAAAAGAAACCCAAAAACAAAGCAGACCCTTACATTTGACAAAGTGCACTTCACTTGGCTCTAAAATTAGCTATTTTTCTCTTTTTTTAACAAATTAAAAGGAAATTTCTAAGATGTAGCATGGGGTTAATGTGTGTATAACCCTGTAAGTCAGGCCCGTTAGTGCCCCATAAGGGACCCAGTGTTTGCTACATAAAAGATCCAGTATCCTTCTAGCCCACAGAGTTGAGTGGTTTTTCAGAAACTTTTTTTTTTTTTCACTTCAAGGCCAGTTCCAGGCAGCCAGCAACGACAAAAATCCAGTAAGCCTCTTGATGTTTCACAATCCTGTTCGGTCACTTCGTTGTTTTGTTTTTCAGTTTCTCTTCCATTATAAAGAGCCATGAACAAAATGATCAAAAAGCGCTGGGTGAAGCCCTGCTGAAGCCCACCCGCCTGCTGCCTCTCGCCGCTCTGTCCGGGGGTGGTGTTGGCCTGGAGGTGCCGCTGCAGCCAGGAGGAAAGCGAGAGCTCCCTGAGGGCAGCTCCAGGTTTCGAGGTCCACCTGAAGCCTGGTGAAGCTTTGCTCTCCCCACTGCCCACGTCCCAAAGAAACCAGCCCACTAGGCTAGGATTAGACTTCACAACGTCTTCAGGCTTCCTTAATCTCAATAGCTGCCCTCGTTGCGCCTGAAGACTGTCTACTACTACATCTTTGATGGTCTTCCTGGTCTTTAGAGTCTTGTGGACGAGATGAGAGGTGAATTTTGTTAGTTTCTCCAGTATGCTGCTTTCCTATCTGACTGGTCCGCCCAGAGACCTCCCAGGAGGGCAGCCTCCCTCACGCCCAGGCTTTGCAAATCGACTGATCTTGAAACCTGGCTGCTCTTGGCTCACCTCCATGTGGACTGGCAGGGGAAAGATGATGCTCTCACCGACAGCGTGGGAGAAGGACAAAGAAAGAAGAACCACGCACGCTGACACCCCTTGCGTTACCTGCAGCAGCTGCTCGTGGCATGAGACACAACGGGGGCCGTGCACGGAGGCGGCCATGGGGCAGAGCCGAGCTGGGGCTGAGCTCGGATCTCCTTGATCCCCAAGGCCTGGCCTCTTCAGGCGCAGCACAAGGCAGAGCCCAGCCCCGAGCCCCGTCCATGCCACCCATTCAAGCCTCTCTCCTAGTGAGCACTCCTTTTATAAGTAGTGACTTTAAATTAGCAGGTGTGCTGGTTGTTACAAACCAGTGCAAAACTGTGCCGTGGTCATCTACAGCCACGCTCTTGGAGCAGAAGGCTGAAAATAACACAGACACATTTAACACCAAATATAATCCCTGGTACCTTCCAGTGTCCAATTCTTTGATATAAATTACAAACAAGCCTACTGTAACTAAGAACCAGAATCCCGTGTGACCGTTTTCCCCTCAGGACTAAGTAACCCTGTTAGCTGTTACTTGTTTTCATTATTTTCTCCTTCCCCAATGTGTATCTCTAGGAAAAGCAGCTGAAGCTGGCAGTGGCAAGTTCCACTGAAAGGACTAAGAAGCTGTAAAGATATGAAGTGTAAAAAGAGGAAAACACAGGAGAAAAAATGGACATACAGCTTCCCTGATGCCGTGATGCTTGGCGGGTGTCGCACCACCAGTTCTGCATTGGGACTCTGGTTTTGGTCTTGCTCAGATCAAATCACCACTTCGGCAGCTGTGGTCAGATCAAAGGGAAGATTCTGTGAGAGAAGTGGCGACTGGGTGGGAATGCGCTGTGATTCCAAGGGGGCTCTCTTGCTTCCTTTTCTCCATCCTACAAATCCTAGCCTGCAGGCTAGAGGAGACACCAGTCTGAGGATTTGTCTAAATAACGGCCACCACCACCCTGAGGCTGCCTTGGAGTTTCCACCAACTTCAGTTAACTCTGCCTTTGGCTTTCCTGTGGCTTCTCTGGATCCATCGTTTGCTCTTGCAGTACAGAAACCTTCGGCAGGCATCACTGCGGATGTCAAGCTCGCAGCAAGGAAATTGCATCCCAGCCGACAGGCGGTGCTTTGGAAGTCTTTGTTGTCATTCCGATTGTTGCACCCACTGTAAGTTCACAGTGGTTTATGTGTTGAGAAATAGGTTATAAATCACGTCCTCGCCTAGTGGAGAGCTCTACTACATCTTCTGAGCACCCCACTGAGGACATGCTCGAAGCCAAGCCTACCTCCAGAGGCAGGCCCAGAGCTTTCCTGGCCAGGCGGGGAGCAGGCAGGGCTGAGGCTGGCAGCAGCACCACGTACTGCCAGCCGCGATGGCAGAGCCCAGCTGTAGGCGTGCGCTGATCAGAGCTGGCCGGGAGCTTGGCACGAGTCCACGCGTAACAGCGACAGGCACAGCCAGCATGTTTGGTCCGACTGGTCCCATCCAGTCACTGGTGAAACCCCACGGGCTTACTGGAACAGAGACAGCTGCGTGGGTGAGTAGAGGAGGACAGCACTGCCCGCCAAACGCATCTTCTGCGTGAAACCTGAACCGTCTCCGGAGGGAAGAAGATGCACGATAGTGTTCCCCTGGTCACCAAGGATAAACACAAATATGCACTCGAGAAAATGAATGCTGTATTTATGGTCTCAAACTTACGGATTCCTTTTAGTAATTGTACAGCATCAAATAGCCACAGAAATGGAATGAGACCATATAAACGTCTGGCTGCTGGAAGAGGTCTCAGTAAATGACGGGCGTTTATTGTATCAAATAGCGTTTCGTCCTACAGCACTTTCTGAGAGAGAAGAGGAAAAGGATACTGCATCTTTCATGCTCCTTGGACTCTGTGTCATTCTTTCTGCTTGAATTACACAACTGGTCTACATTTGGTGGCCATTTTCGGCTTTTAAAACTGTGTTTAACATAAAAAATATTTTTTTTCCAAAAATACACTGGGTTCTTTCTGTTAAAAGTCATCTTTCTCCTGTAAAAATCTTCCCCAGCACTGCATTCTTATATAAAGCACTTATTACACAATTTGCTGAAAGTGCCCTTGAGACGCTAAGATCTGAAGCATGGAGGATTTTTTTTTCTTTTAAACGGAGAGAAAGAAAGGAAAAGAAAGAGAGGAGAGGAGAAGCAGTCTGTCAAAAATTTTCATTGTCATGTCCACCTGGCTGCATCTACTATGGGCATACAGGGAAAAAAGAAAAAAAAAGGGCAAGAAGAAAGAGGAGAAAAAAAGGAAGGAGAAGTCGGGAGTGGAAGGGAGAAATAAAAGGAAAACAAAAGTTTCATCCTAAGCCTGGGATCCTCCAGGCTGTAATATTCCAGCTGATAGAAAAAACACTGAACAAAAAAAGTAGTCTAGAAAATAGAAAGTGTTGTGATTACAAAGTTGAGCATTTCATCAGTACAAACTGGTCTTTGAACGTCCTTTGGGAGAGCAACTGTAGTGTCCAAATTGGAAGGAAAAAATACGACACCGCATGGAGGAGGATTTTTTTTCCCTTTTGGTTTATCACAGCATTTTTCTTTTTTTTATTAATTATTTTTTGGCACAGCTTTTTTTTCCCAGCCATCAGAGCAAGTTCTCAGACGCAAACCAAACAGTGCAATGCCTAGCTGGTGGCTTCATGCTTCCAAGGCTGAATGTTCCAGGTGGAAACCATTCCCTCCCCCTCTGAAGTGACTGTGTTTTTACTCCTTGATGAAGGTTACGGACAAAATACTAGACACCTGTGGCCAGGGAGAGTTGGTTTCACAGTACACTCTAACTTTGTTCAAGTTCGTACAGTTCTGGAGCTGTTAAGAATAGTTTTGAAGAGTGCTTCTCCCCACACATTCACTGCTGGTCCATTTGAAATTTCTTCTAAAACATTTCACTTTTACTTCCGCAGATCTAGAACACAAACCTAGAGAGAAAAGACTCAGGATTAAGAACCATTTCAGCAGGTTAGTTGGAATTCCTATTTATGTACAGCCCAGTCCACCAGCTGATACAGTCAGCTGTATGCTAAGCTACCCCAAGCTCCACATGAGTCTGTCTCAGTGTCTATTTACATGCACACAAGCAAGAGAACAAGCCAACATGGGAGAAATCAGAGATGAAAACCACCTATCTGGGCTTTCTTTAGATTACAAACAAGCATTCTGGTGGCGCATCCCTGACAGGACCATGGGCTTTATTTAGTTGCCTAAACACTTCAGTTTTTGAAGTATTTCCAAAATACATGCCCAGGCCTGGCAGGTGTGACCCAGGACCTACTGGCAGGCACGTGCCCATTTGGAGCAGCTGTTGGGAGCCAGGCATGGCACCATTTCAGATGGCACAACTCAAGCAACTGGATGATGTTGTAGGTGTACCCTTCATTAAAAACAGCTGAAAAATATTGCTCTAGAGTTATGCCAGCCAGACACATAGAAGAGTTATTTTGAAAGATGTATTGTGTGTTATAACGTGTGTCCTTCACAAGCTGATCATGCTATAACTGAAATATCACAGAATCACAGAATCACAGAATTTCTAGGTTGGAAGAGACCTCAAGATCATCGAGTCCAACCTCTGAAATATTTATCAAGTAACTAACAGAAAAAAATAGTATGTAATAATCAGTGTCTTTACAGCAATACTTCTTTACCACAGGATGAAATCTTTGGACATCATGCTGCAAACTTCCTCCTTCAGGTACTATTCAAGGGTGTATTTCTTCTGTGGGGTAGGACTAGAAAGCCCCAAGACAACTTTTATTTGAAAGTTGCCTGCTGTGATCTTCAGTACAAACAGACCGATGAGAAAAGTAATGATAGAAACAACACTATTGTTGTTCTTATCAAATATGTATTTAAATTTATTCCCATCTTCAGCAATATTCACCAATTCCAGAAGCACTCTTCATTTCCAATGAAAGTACCACCTCCCAGTATTCAAAGCCTTTCAAAGCAGGAGCATTTTTAATATACTCCTATGAACTACTCATTTATTGAGCTGTCTACACCTTGAGCACTGTCCAGAGAAGGCAATGTGGTATCTGCTTTTTTTTGGACACTCTCCAAAAGAGCAACCTTCACCCAACATTTACAGCGTATAAAGCTTCTTACCGATCCATCTGATGCGCTTGCTCCCACTTTGTCTCCTCTAGCATTCCAGCAGACTTCAAAGATGCCTCCGGTGCCTCGGTAGCTATGTACTAGAGTTCCACTCTACAAAGCAAAACAGCATGCAAACATTCAGCATGGAAGTTCCCCTTTTCTCTGTAGTGTGGCACTATATCAAAGAAATGACAGTGGTGGCATGTGCGAGCTACTCATATCACCTAACTACCTAACTACAGTCACCTTGGTAAGATGCTCAAATTAGGAAACTGGTCTTTGATACTGGAGAGAAACAGGCTCTTCCAGAAAGCAATTTACAATATGGCTCTCAAAAACACCTGTTTTTGTCAACTCTGTAGCAGTAAAGCTGAGAGTGTTAGCTGTGGGAGTTAAGCTGAGGTGTTCTTCTCTAAAGTTTATTGCTTAATCCAGCTGTTAGGCATTGATATCCTAAATTAAGTCTGTGGAAGCATAAGGCAGTTCTGGCAACGCTGTGAGAGACTGGGGCTTCCCTGAGTTCTTCATGCAATCTCTATCTCTATCTCCATCTCCATGCATAAGATCAACCTAACAGGAGAGCTTCCAGTTTCTAAGTACATGCAGATCACGTACAGAGCACATTCAGGAGAAAACAACTGTGTGCAGGAAAGCAGAGCTCAGTTCTTTTAGCTTGCTCCCAGTGCTTACCACCTACTACATAAGAACTTCCTGGGACTAGGAAGAAAAAACACCAACTGCCCCACTCTCCTCCAGAATATCCCCAGTGCCCGGGCTGTATGTCCTTTACCTCACTGCCACAAGGCATAATAAGCCAGGTGCATCACACTCACATCTGAACTCAGCTTGTTACTAAATGTAAGAATCACATATTCGTACAAATCAACCCTGATCTATGCTCCACAAAACTGGCAGCACGGCGTGATGTGGTTATTTGCATGCATGCTATTGCTTTGGCATACAAAGAAGCTTTAGCAGAATGTTCTGCGCAGTCACCTCACCCCACCTGAGTGACTCAGCTGTGCTGCAATTGTTATCGGTCAGTACAATCAGGTTCACCCAGGCTAGCAGGTCACGCACTGCTGAGGTACATGTATTTTCCATTTGGGATTTTGCTATTAATGTGTCAGCTAAAACAGATGTGCTTTGTGTGACTCAAACAGTACCTGAGTATTCCATATATGGACACATTTGTCAAAGGACCCACTGGCTAGATATTTTCCATCGGGACTAAAAGCTACACTGTAGACAGGCTCTTGATGTTTTGTTAGCGTATGGATGCAGACTCCTCGGTCAACGTCCCACAGCCGAACAGTGGAATCAAATGAAGCACTGCAAGAAGCATTGAACACAAAACATGTTTTAATTTGGATGTTAATCCATTTGCAGTTTGATGCTGTAAACATTTGAAGAGAATACAAGATTTTTTTGGCTAAGCAGAAAATGTTTCAAGCAGAAAAGCAGAACACTGTAGACTTTCCATTCTGAATGACAAGAACTGTTATCTACAGGACTGAATGCTTACATGTGAACCCTTTAACTAGGGGTATTTATTGTACAGGGGATCAGATCACAAGCCCAAAGAGGGTCACACTCCTCTTTCTGAGATTCTATCTGCTATTATTCAGGAGGGTAAAATACATATTGTCATTAATAGGATAAACTGTTCTACAGAAATTTCAGTCCTTAATGACTTTATTATTTAATAAATTATCATTCCACAATTTTCTAGAACTGTGGTTCTTTTCATTTTGTTTCAGTGCATTTTTTTTTCCCAACAATCTATTTAAATCCCCAACTGTGGGCCTAGAGAAAAGCTAGGGAAATAATTGGTATTAAAAATGATATTAGAAGAACAACTTCAAGAAATTCAAGTTCTTCCCTGTCTACTCTCAGACCGAGGAGTAAAATACATAAAAATCAACACAGTTCTTAATTCATAAACCCATGGTACTACCATCAATTGGCATTCTATGAGTAGACATATTTCCTAAACTCAAAGAGTTATGAACAGATTTTAAAGTGGAATTTTAAAGATTATCCACGCATTTCTCGATTAGTTAACAAGACTGTAAAAATTGTCAGTATCTGCTCAGGTGATTTGCATGACCCTTGTTGGAACATATTCCAACTGGCTTAGTGGGCTGCCATCTGTCTCATTAAACACAGTCATTCATAACAACCGGATGCTGGATGTGAAGGTATGATGCTACATTTACAATCTCTTTTATCAAGACAGCTAAAAAATTAAGTATTATATGACTCAGTTCTCCCCTTTTTCGTCTTTTTCAAATACGATTTTTCTCCCTTTGTAACCTTCCTGATTTACAAACATTTTTAATGTTATCAGCAGATGGCTTACTAGAATTGTAGACAGGAAGACTGACAGCAAGGCAATGGTGGAGTTACACGTCAAAAAGACAATTCTTTTAGGTAAGAAACAGGGTAAGATTTATTTTTACCTTGCTAACATGATGTTGGAGTTTGGGTTGCTGGTGCCTGGTCCTGTAGGACTCCATTTGATAGTATAAATCTCTTTGCTGTGAGCCTGAAGGTCATGTACACAGGTATCTTGCTTCATACTCCAAATCTAAGTCAGGGTAATTATGAAGGGGGAAAAAGGGCAGTGTTAATCTCAGCTGAACTATTTCAGTTCACTCCATGTTTTTCTTGCCATTTTTAAATGTAATATCTTGACACACACGTATACACATAAACATAACCTAATCTGAATTTATTAATACAGGAGCTTGGCACCTACAATGCAAACATTAGAATAACCCCACTTGGGGCAAGTGCTACGCATGTAATAGTACTTATTCAATAGATCAGAACTGAATAGCCACTGTACTGTCCATAGCCTATACCGGTATTTTCATACAGAAGCTGAAGTTTTTCTATTTAGAAAGGCTTAACTTGCAATTTAAGTCACCGATTACAATAGCATTCACCTTAAAGAATGAGAATAAAGCGGTTTGTAACTGCTTAGAACCTCACAATTTTCTCTTATGTCAGTCAGCAGCCAGGGCAGATTTTCCTATTCCTCCCGAACTCTGTTTGTTTTCCTGGTGTTTTTAACAGCTTGGATGATGGAACAAGATCAGCTACGTATGCAGTATTACATGGCCAAATACTTTGCAAAATGGTATGAGACAAAGAATATGCCCAATAGAGAAGACAGGTAATTTAGTAAATCTTAGAAAACTGAGGAAACAAGAATAAGTGAATTCACAGCAGGCAAAATAACTCAAAATTGGTCAGGCAGTTTCAGAAACATACTGAGAATGTAGGAAAAATTTAACTCACTTGTTATAAATCTGCACTATGAGGGAAATGATGTGCTCTAATGCTGAATTTTCGGCAGCATACCTGTCTGCTTTTGGAAATGTTACACAACGCTTAAGCATATTCTATGGCTAACAGGCAGTATGTTCCAAGAAGTTGTAGAAAAGTATCAAATACTCCAAAAAAGAGAAAAGAAAGAAGCCAGAGAAGACTAATTTACAGAGGAAACAGAAGAATTGCCTGAAGACTTGCAGTGCCCATTACTGCAAGGTGACAGAGGCCTTCAGCGAGGCCAGTGACAGCAAACCATTAACTCTGGTGCCAAATTCAGTGGCCAGAAATTTGAACTGGTACCAAGTCACAATGTTTTTTGAAACACATCCTGTGTGGAAATGGGCACCAAAATATGTGCTACCACTGGGTCAGAATGTTTTAGCAGGATATTATCGGTCACTACAAGAATGCTTTGTGGTAGAATAACAAATGAGGCGCTCTCTTTATGTCCCTAGCCCTACTGTCTGTAAATTTCCAGTTCTCTGAATAGTCTGGAATAACATATCTAGAAACTGGAGGGATTAAGATCCCAGAGAGTATGTGGCAAAGGCAGAGAATGGAGCAGAATGTACCACGTGGCTACATATTAAGAGAAAACATTCCTAACTGCAGTGTTGACCTAGCTCTTATCTACATTTGCAAGTTTTGCTGTTCTGTTTCCACTCTTACACACAAGCTGTGTGTGTACTAGAAATGTCTCTTGCTTTACCTGTTCCAATCAGCAGTGGAAAGAGATATGAGCCTTAATTAACACAACCATGCTATGAGAAATCTGTATTACAGAACTCTATTCGCAGAACTGTATCTTGCCTGGGATGTTTGCTTTGCTCAGAGGGAACAGCATACATCAACAGCAGTGGTGGCCTAGCTCTGAAGTCCAGCCGAAGGGCTTTGCTGCTACGATATAGAGCTATTCCTATACACAGACTTCATCTAATGCAGCTGGGGAGGGAACGAGACCGAGAGGGGTTTGGGCTTTAGAGCTCTAGAGTGAAAAGCATTTCGGCAAGCCCAGACTCTCCCTGCATTAGCAATACTTTGCTGGCACAGTGCAATGGCCCAGTTGTGCTGGTAGAGCAGCCTGTGCTATCTCCCAGCCAGATGGATCCCTCTACCTTCAGGCACCTAACAGAGGCACGTAAATCAGCAGTGTAGCTGCCTTAGGCTTTCTGTACAGGTAATGGATAAGGATAGGCGTCTTCAGAGAGCACTTCAGATTTTTGCCGGGCTCTGAATATGTATGCCCCACTGATTAGTCCAAGGCTTTACAAAAAAAAAATAAAATAAAAAAAAATCAGATGGCTCCAAAGAAATTACTTTCAGACAAAAAGACTCTAAAGGGAAAAGTGTTTATTTTTATTTTTATATTCTTCTCAAAGATTAACCAACAGACTGCTTTTTGGTGTAGGGAGTGAGCTTCTGCTGACAGGCAAGTAGCTGTATATATCTCTATATATGCATATATATGTATGTATATATCTATATCTATGTGTATATTTAAGCTGTGAATATTCTGTGACAGTGACATATCAGTCACTTGACACTTATCTGGATAGGATATTTCAGTTTTCCCAGTGACTGCTTCTCTATGTTTAATCTTTTACATTGGCTTTAAGAAATACAGGATAAAGTAAAATTATTGTTCACAAAGAGTTTTAAATCATACAGTATATCATTCCAGAAAAGGTAAAAAATAGAAATAACCTTTTTCTTTACTTTTTCAACATCAGGAATGGAAATTATATTACCTTTAATGTCATATCATCGGAGCAAGATGCTAGTAGCATGCCAGATGGGTCCCACTTGATAGCATTAACCTCGTTCTGAAATAAAGAGCGATTTTATTAAGTGAATATTCAAGTTACCTGCATGGTACTGGGCACCCAGCAGAGGGCACTCGTGGTTTATGTCTACAGCAAGTTAAACCGCAAACTACAGCCCCCATTGCTCTGGGAGTGAACAAAGAAGTGCTGCTTCCATAACATGCTATTTAAACATCATCTAGGAATTGTAACCACTTTGTGTTTGTGGACAATACATACAAACAGTCTTCTCACATGTGTTCTAGTACAAAGTCTTTCATGCTTCTCAAATGCTATGATTTAAATAAACCCTCAAACCAGAGAGATTGATGACAGTATTAAACTATTTTTAAACTGAGGTATGTCTTAGGTTAATATTCTGTAGATCTAAGAGATACAAATCTATAATAAAAAAATTGGGGGGGGGGCATAAAGTTTTACTGAGTTGATTATTCTTAGTATTGCAGCTATACAACAATACAGGTCTCTATAAAAAGAGCTGTATGTGTAAATGAAATCCAGCAGGGAATACTGAATATTTTATGACTCTTTCCAGATCAATTTTTCTAGCACTTCATCATTAAGTAAGCCTAATGTGTCCCCTTGATAATCAGGAAGTTTTCTTTGCCTTTTTTTCAGGGTCATATATACGTAGTAACACTGGGAAAGAAACATTCCACAAAGAGGGAAAATAGTGTTTTTTAAAAAGCATAAATTGGCTCACTGAAAACAAACCCGGAAGATATGTTAATTTTATTTGATCCACTTTACTTGTTTCAATTATCATTAAAAGGAACTGTACAGATATTTGAAGTCAAATTTTGGTCCACGTGCAAAATGCTGCGTTTCATATAATCATAAAAACCATCATTCTGTTGGTAGGAACATACAACCTGTCACAAAGTATCAGTGCATTATTATTTTAACCACAGACAAGCTAAAGGTCTCAGGATGCACAATTTTTCCTCTGTGGGGAGACAGCAAGGTCTGGACATTAGTATCTAAATTGCAGGTCAGTATCTGATCGCAGTTTTCGCATGAATGAAAGAAAGAAAAAATAGCCTTTGACAGCCATTAAATACTAAAGAAAAGAGGCACAAAATACAGCTTAAACAGATATTAGATGTAATAGATTCTAAAACTGAACAACGACTGGAGGTAAACTGCTCTCTCATTATTCATAGTTCTCATTTACTAAGGAAAATACACCAGTGGAAAACAAAACCTTATTTATTTATGTGCCTTCAGTCTGCAGCTCATGCTACATATAAATAGTCTCATTGTTTAAGCTGCAGGTTTTGCCTCCTACGATGATTTAGAACAGTTTATCCCTTCTCACAGGCAGTGACTCACTCCTGAAGAATACGCTTTTAGGAAAGCAATGGGATATAACACCTCCAGTGCTAGAATGCACCCTGCAAACACATCAGCTGCCATCATTGTTACATGCAGCTATGACTTAACCACTAACAGTTTGGACTTCTTAAACTTACTGTGTGTCCTTGAAAGGTTTTAACGGGGCGATCACAGCTAAGTCTGCATACGTGAATGCACATGTCAGTGCTGCAGGAGGCAAAAGTAGTGTTGTTCTGCCAGTCTACATCCAGAGCAGGAGCTGTGAAGTACAAACAACAGAAGGAACATTAGGGAACGCAGCAAAGAAACAGTAAGCCCAAATAATTCTCCTTCTGTCACCCATCTGGATCACAGGGACTAAAAACTAGTTCTTGGCCTGTTACCTGTAACTAGTTACAGGGATGACAGGGAGTGCCTGAAAGGCACAATGTTTTCTCTTGCAGTTGGATAATCTGGTTGATTTGTAGATCTATTTGTGAATCTTTTGGGTAAGAGTGGGCAATACCATCCTGTGTCTACTTCCACCCTCCTTGCATTCCTCTGTAAGCCAGTTCTACAAAGCAGCTGGAAGAAAACTAATTCTGAAAAAAAGGGGATGATTTCAGCTGGGGCTGGGTTGAATAAGCACATAAAATGGTCCTACGAATTCCAGACACAGCATACAGGAGGGAGAAGCAGCACGTGGCCATCTTCCTTTATACAGTATTTATGCACCAGCCAGTGCAAACCTGTTGTTCTGTGAAGACACACATGGATCAGTAACATCTATGTTCAGTTTCATTTGTCTGGGAATTGATTTAAAATAGGTACATTGGTCAAGACCATCTGAAATCAGAGGTTGTTTCCATAGTGGGTTTGGCATTAATGAAGATTGAACTAATGAAACTTTGTACACAGGTAGCACCTGAACATGTAACCAGCACCTGCGTGCAACACACACACTTTGCAAAAGTGTAAAAAACCCACAAACTTTTACAGCACTTCACTGCAGACTGAAAGCATGCACAGGAGCAGGTGGGGACTCCTCACACACAGTTTGTTTGTGCTTTCCCCCTCCCACCCCAGAAGAAAGAGTTTAGCTGCCCTCCAGAGGATAACATAAGACATGCTGAAATACAGAAATCTTCATTTTCTGCACACTCTGGTGAAAAGCAGATGCATCAGAACGAGACCACCATTTAGATAGCAAAGTTGAATCTCTTCCTGGCAACAGCATAATGGAAGTTTATCATTAAAATGAAATCAAGAAATGCCTTACTCAAAGACGTTTAGAGAAACACTTTTATAATACAGAAGTAAAAAGATACCTGTTCTGCCAAGCCTATTATACTTAAATGCTTTTTCCTGTTCTGATTTTCATGAACTGCAAAGTGAGATAGAACCACATCGCCTTCTGAATCATCAGATAGCTCTTTAAATGAGAACTGAGGGCTGAAACTGTATCATATACTAATATTTTCTAGAATACTAATGAAAAAGCCCAATACATCTCCATGACAGTTAAGGAATTTCTGCATTGCAGAACTACAAAGGAAATTTGTGTGAGGAAGGCAGATTACTTCTGAGATTTCCTATGAACATGAATGAGCATCAGGAACAGCAAAGGATTTTGTTTCTCCTGCTGCAAGCTTTGTATTACTGTTTCAGAGCAAACAAAAAGTCTGTCTTCATTGATAGCTGTATGCCTTCAGGGCTAATATCTAGTATGATACATATGAGTTGAAAAGTAATTTTCTGAGAGCCACTGGCAACTAAAGGAATGGATTTTCATTACAGAATAATTTGAATCATATAGTGTTGGTAATTAATACTGATTCATTTATTGGTGTATTTAATCATATATTTACTGGATTAATAATTACATAAAATGGTGTGGAAAAAAACACCAAATGTAGTTTCTGACGTAAGTAATTTAATTGTCAAAGTGTCTCCAAAAACACAGGATACTGGCCAAGTGCTTAAAAACATCTAGAATGTCATCCAGTAAAAGTAAGGGCAAGAGGCCATTAAGAAACTTTGAGGTTATAAACAAGGTTTTCAGATGCCAAATACAGTGAGTAACTTGCTGTTAAGTTTGTTCTGGTGAACAGGTGATACAAGAGATCAAGATGAAGTCTTTGTGTCTTTAAAATCATGTAGGAATGAAGACTCCTGCTGATTTTACAGGGTTTATTTTTGGTCATATGCTTTTTGCCTATCAACAATTGTCTTGATAACTAGCTGCTTTACTTTCCTATGAAAACATATTTGAAATAAGAGAAAAAACAATAGCCTCTCCACATCCCCACTTCAGTTGTGTCTCATGGTCCAAAGATAAACAACACATGTAGTAACAATTTTTCTTGAAGTCTGTTAATGTAGGTGTACGTCAACAGATTGCACTGTGAGATGGAGGCACGTTTTCAACTTGCTAAGAGGAGACGGGAGCAATGTGTCCCTGATGCACATCATTGCTAAGATAGCCACACTTCAATGAACATGATTCTGAAGGGGAAACCCAGCTCTGAGTCCGCAACCACTTACATCAATAGTTAGGAAGCAGTAGGCCTAGGAATTTCATTACCTACGTCACTACACAGTGCAAAGTTTGCTGTAGTGGAACAGTTTTGATAGATACATCAACGAGAAGATGAGTGACAAAAATGCCCAGTATGGATATGCTGTGTGCACAGACATATGCTTTGTTTTCTGTCGAATAACCATTTCTATTGCTACTGCATATTAATAACATCTGTGAAAATTTGAGAATGAGACCAACTAGAAACTGAGTTGAAAAATGTGCCAATTAGCTTCTTAAAATCACAAGATAAATATGTTTTTAAACACCATTAAGCACCTTGTAAGTCTGCTGTATGAAAAATGGATTTGTTACAGCGAACACACAGGGTGTTGAACATTTCTAGCATCAGAATCTGGAATGTTTTTGATGGCTTTAAGCTCAGTTTGACTATGCCCATCAAAAATATTTAATTGCGACAACTTATCAGGTTTGGATTATGAATTCAGTCATCCTCTTAAAAGTCTGGTCTCAGGTGAATTTAAGATTACATCAATGACTGCCTGTTACTCCAAATTACTCAGTATCTGTGACATCTCCTGTCTTCTTGAAAAGAAGATGCACAAGATGCACAAATGACTGTCCGTGTAAGGTTTAGGAACTCAGTGTTGGCAGTTGACTTCTGATAATTAGACAAAGCAATACAGAAGAACTTCAAGTCAAAATTAAAAGTTGAGAAATTCCTGAGGACGTTCATGCTTGCAGTGGTGAAAGCAAGCTGCTGAGAGATCCACATTTGCTTCTTTATGAAGTCTCCATATTAACCTTGATACTATTTAAGCACATAGATAATAGTACAAACATTCAGCTGAGCAGGCACAGCTGATATATAAATCCTCTCGTAGAGTTCACTTTGACTTTCAAAACTGATTCTCACAGAAACCCATCCTTCTGAAAAAGGGACAAACCCACAAAAGTCAGGATAGCTAGGGTACAAAGATCCTGGTTCAAAATTTGCTTTCCTCTGGCAGACAGGTTCTTCCAGAAGGATGAATTAGACTGGCAAAATTAAAATGTGTATTTAGTTTTACTAATTTGAATTCTGCAGGAATTACCTGAATGGAAAGGAAACTGTTGTTTAGCTTCTCCTGTGTGAGCATCCCAAATTATTGTTGTCTGCATTGGGAAGAAGGGAAAAAAAGGGTTAGTGACTGTTCAGCTCAGAAAAAACAAAGAGAGAGAGCACTCACTAAGGAGCAATTGTAAAAGATGGACTGATAAAATTATTGACTGCAGAGAGCCTTGTGTGCTGCACAGCTGAATCAACAGAAATAACTTCCAAATATTACAGAATAATTATATAAGTGTAGATATAGAAGTATCACCCCTACAGAGGAAGTAATATAACAGCTAAGAATGGACATTTTCTTCTTGAATAATGCTAGAGAACAGTACCACAAGATTTTAATAAGCATTTTGTTACAGCTGTCTCAATTATCTTCTGCAAGTAAGACTTTTCCTTTTTAGCAAGATCCAAGTTGAATTCTATTGCAAACTGAAGCGATACTACATTTCTAATAATTAAATCACCAAGCAAAATGTTTAACAGCAGAGTACAAATCACTTATTGCCACTGTGGTATGGTGGGACAGACGGAAGTGTAATTTGCCTACTACAGGTTTAAACCATACCTGCAGCACACATAAGCAATTCCCCAACTCAGTACTACCTTCTGGGTGAACCATCAATTTACTGGGAGTACATACTTTCAGAAAATAAACTCAGGGTTCCTCCCCTTGGTGTTGATGATCATCTTAAGAATCACTGCTGTTATGGGGAGCTACTACTGGGAGATAAACGTAGCTGGATATGAGCTAGTATTAAAAGGCATAAAACTCCATTTTCACAAGTATGGGATTCATCTATCCTACAAATCAAATGTACAGGTGTGAGCGAATTTCCCTAGACTGTCTCTGTCAAATGCAGGAGAGGAGCGCTGTCTGTGCATCTAACTGTAACACAGGCCATGCAACTCATCACTTGGAAGTGCCGTTTTTCTCTCCATATTTTAATAGGAAGCCAAGGATGCATCTAATTTTTCAGACATCAAAAGTTAGGTAAGATGAACGCTGTGTTTATTTTTCAGTTTCATTTTTAATGGGTTTCTGCTCATCATCAGCAATCATCTGTCATTTCAATCTCTAATATGCACTCAGCTGAAACTACCATGTTTGGCTTGATTTTGAGTTCAGAACCACCATATTTTGCATGTTTGCATAGGAAACCATATATATTTTATTCAAATACAAGTTTCAATAATTAGATGAGCTAAAAACTGCAGTACCTGTAAGATAACTTCCATCCTTGAAATAGTTACAGTTGATAAAACTATAAACATAAGCAGTGGAAGCAGTTATTTCTTCAACAGAAACATTTAAGATGCAATTTTACACAGGGGGCAAATGGAGTTTGTTTTTTAAAAAACTTTTACACTTAAAATGTACACATAGCCTCAAAAATGTAATCAATCACTTGATCCAAGAATTAAGTGATTAATCCAACACTCACTAGAACAAATTAAAGAAAGGTACACTCCCCAGGACTCCTGGAGCAGAAGAAAATAACCTTATGGAATTCAACAGCACTCTCTGAGTCAGCGCATTTAAATGTTAGAATTATGTATTTTTAAAACTCACTTTATCAACACCAGCACTTAAAATATAATTCCCCTTTTTGTTCCACTTCAGGGCAAATATCGGACCTTTATGTTGACCTAAGGTGCTTGCAAGGTTACCTGGAATAAAGAAAAGGTTAACATTACAATTTGTTTACACATTGCCCAACTTATAGTTGACTGCTGTTAATTGCTTAAGAACGATAACTGTTGTTTGACTTACCGTCTTCTGTCCATATTCTTGCAAAACCATCGTATGAGCCTGTAGCCAATAGTGTTCCGTCACTCTGTTGGGATATACATCAGTGTCAAAGGTCAATACCAGATGAAATCCGCTTCAGCTAAACTTTAAGGTTTGTGCGTTACGATTTATGGGAAATCTGAGGCCACATACTGAGAATAGATAGTATCGTTATTATATCAACTAAAGTAAAGGTTAGTACTGCAAATACGAAGAGGAAATAAAACCCTCGAACATCCTCTGAAAAACTGGGCTACACCATCAGATAATATTCAAAAGGATTAGACAAGGAAAACAAGGTATAACAAATTCTTTGGGATTGTTCCAGATAACAAACAGATACTACTACATCTTAGACATATAGAGCCTATAAATCATCAACAAATCATGTAAATCCTTACTAAATCCCAGTTAAGTGAATTTCAGGCATCTATACTTGAAAGTAGGACCTAAAAACCTAAGCCACCTACACTCACCATTAACACCTTGAATGCTACCTAACACAAAGAAACTGCTTCCAAGTTGTCTAAACAAAGACTCCCACACATGCCCAGAGGCACAGTGCCATCATGGGCAGCCTCAGAAAAGTTGAACTCATGGGTCCTAATTATGAGGAAAGAAGCCCAGCAATCATAATCGGCAAATTGTATGTATTCTGCTGGAGAGAGGCCTTCATTGAAGGATAACTCCTGTGTGGCAAACAGTGGAAGATTTAGTGGGCCAGAATGAGAGTAATCAAAAAGGAACTTGGCTCTGTAACCTGGTGAGATAGGTACTGTTAGCACTGAGCATTTAGTCTTTAAGCATTTTAGCATCTGGATTAGGAGTGAGATTCACCCCGTTTACCTCCACAATTTCACAAATCAGGAGTTAGTCTAAGGGAGTAGCCTAGTCTCCCTCCACAAATAATAGCACCACCTCTGGAGCTATGTGAGCTAACTCGTGATGCCATTTGCTTTAGACTCGGCCCAGACCACTGTGAATGCACGTGTCCCTTAGAAGGAACCGAGATGACTGCCTTAGATGGCTAAATCTAAGAAAGATGAATCCTATCCTTGGTACCAAAGCACATCATCTGAATATGAACTCTAGAAATAACCTTTCCTGTTATAACGTAAATCACACAAAACAGAGAAGAACTGATGCAATATATTAAGCACTATGTTAATTTCACAGTGGACTATGATTAATATTGTGGTTCTAAATAAACAATAAATGCAGATGGCATTTCTAGCATCATGAGTAGAACACTAGGAAAAAGCATACAATAATCCTTTAAAACGTTATGTGCACTTCAACCCTCCATAGACAGTGAGTCAGCACAACTGTAGATTTAAGTCAAAGGTATAATGATGTAGGGGGAAGAACATCAAAACCCAAGCCAACTTCACTGTGCTATACGCTTATGTGGACCACTGATAAGGACAAAGGTGACAGCAAAAGGGAAAAGGGCAGGAAAGCTCAGCGAAGAGTCATACGGTTTATCCAAAGTCCTTGGTGGTAATTCACTTTTTTTTCTTTTGAAAACGCAAAGCAAGTTGGAAGCAGTTTAATGGTTTAAACTAGGAACATTTCCCTACATTAAGTACTAGCACAATAGCAGTACTGTATCAGTGATCACTGAAGATTGATAAGGCACAGAACTACTAGAAAAAGTATGCCTTTTTGACTTTTCTCGTAACTGCTCTGCACCTTTGCTTGTCTTTGTCTTTCATCTTCCCTCTACCTAGTCAATTCATTTTTTCCTGACAATTTTTCTTCACCATGATGTATACAGGAAACAAGTAATAAACATTCTCGGGCCTTATTTTTATTTGCTTTGTTAACTTACCCATGTTTTCTGTACTATTCATCAACTTGTTTCATCGTGTCACATAAACAATATATATGGGAAGCTGATTTGTGCAGTGGCCTTATCTTTAACTTTTGTGAAGCACCTAGCTCACCTGAAGGACAATGATATTGCAGTAAAGATTAATCAAATCTTGGTCTCTGTCCAGCAACTGAAACAGATGAGAATCCTTTCTGGTACTTAATTTTTAATCTGCTTTCCTAAGAAACCACAATAATGTGATCACTCTTGCCTGTGCTGATATCAACAAAAGGGACAGAATGAAAGTGATCTCAAAATTAATTAAGGTTCCTGCAAGATTTTTTTAAGTTACTTTTATGCTGTTCAGTGACAGAATGGAGACATTAAGCAGTCTTAATGCTGCCCAAAGACACTGCCCAGACATTGAGGATTAACAGTATTTGTCTCCTCTGCTCACTTCAGTCATCCCTGTGCAAGACTGTATTATCTAAGATAGATGAAAGATTTTGCAGGATGAAAGTTAGCAAAGGATCAGGCAAGAGAGTTCCACCTGGAAAGCGGACAGGTAAAAGAGAATGACTACATACGCTCCATTCAAGACAGACTATAATGTGAGCACATTTTGTTATGCACAACATTAATTCAAATGGGTGAAGATCTTGACAGTCCAATCTCAGAAAAAGCTTCACTGGTGCTTTTATGTCCTTGCATGCCAAAATAAAGTAGTTATGAGATGCAAATACGTTATTAATCAGCTTTCATTACTACATAGATTGCTTATTTAATCTTCATTCTTAAAGTCAGCTAAGTTTATTTTTACCCATGCTCCTAAAAATAGATTATATAAATACATCATCGTTAGGCTTGAAGATGCCAGCAGTACTGGAAAATGACAGCATGTAGGGGAAAGTTCAGACTATTATGGGTATCTGAAACAAGAGGTCAGTAGGTTAGAACAGAGGTTCCGGTCACCTCAGATATAAAAGATACAGAGCAGCAGCTGTAATTGCCTCTGAATTAAATTTAGACAGTTAAAAAACATGCACAGTCTTAGAAGCTAGCTTACATTCCAGTCCAATGAAGTCACGTCCTTATTGCTGGGGACATCGTGTCCTCCTTCTCTTATGCAGTGCCTCAAAACTAGTTGAGTGGAACCACTGTTGCTGTTCTCATTGAGATTCCATATTCTGGCCGTTGAGTCTCCAGATCTATAAAAGCAATCACGCAGAGATGAAAACTTCTCTTGGTGGTGACCCAGCAAACAAAATAAAAACCTCTGTTTCTGCTTTTATTTGAGATAATGTCACAGAATTTCAAATGCAACTTTCCTCTCCATTTCTGACCTTCCTGCACTCCCCATACCTGCAAGAAGAAATTTTAAAGGCTAAAACATGATTAAGTTACACCTATCATCCAAACCCACAACATAACATTATTTGCTTTATTCAAAAAGTTGTACGTTTGCCTGCTCCCTACATATTGCACTTCAGACACATTGCCGTGACTGAGATGGTCTCGGGGAACTTAACGAACATTGAGACAGAAACACAAAGGCTGTGTCCACATGCCTCCCACAAAAGGGGTGCACAGACACATTAACTCCTAATGGCTTGCAGAGTCCCTGGTGTTCCCCAGGGTGGCAGAAAACTCTGAGGAGGACAGGACCTGCAGCATTACCATCCACAGAGGAGCAGTGTCACCTGGCAGCTGCTGTGGGGAAAGGGACCACTAGCAGTGTGACAGAGGTGCTGCAGTGCCTGTTCCCTGGTCCTAACGGAGGATTTTAACCTCCTTTATAGTCAGATTATTTTCTAGGAAGACTGAAACCTTGATTTTGTCTAGAAAATGTGAAGAGGAAGTGAGAAACTTCTTATTATTTCCTTATGAATTATATATTTGTTTTCACTTTGCATAAATCTTCCTTCCAATGAAAAATGTCTCTGAGGTCAGAAATCAATTTACAGCAAGGTGGAAGATATTACATTTTCTAGTTTACTGGGATTTGTCTCTTGCTTCTCCCTGCCCCTCTCTTTTTAAACAATCGATAACAACAACAACAACAACCAAAACAATCAAGTAAGATAGATTGCTTGTTTTGTCCAGAATGTAATTTTCATTTACATTCGGTACGCAGAAGCTTGGAGCAGCATTGCGATCTCTCTTCTATTTCCTACAATTCATACAGTCAACATTACGTTTTATTGTTGATACATCTGATGTGTTAGCTTTTCCTTTTTTTCAAGTAACGACTAAAACTTCCTTTCCCATAGAGGAGCAAAGATAAAAGTATTTCCTTGAAAACTAAAAACATGAGATCCACTTTTGCTTTGATAACTCGTGTTTTACTGAAAAAGAGATCTATTGCAAGAGAATTTTAAATTTTCTTCTGGTCCACTAAAAAAACATTTTAATTATTTATACTAAAAGTACCAAGCAAATTTTAAACACTTCATACTTTTCAAGTGCAAATACTGACCAACAGAGCATCCAACTGGACTGATCTTTGTGTATGATTGTATCAATAATTTAGCCAGATTTTACATGATTAGTAGTTCAACCATAAAGGAAAAAACTTCTCTGCCTGTATCGGTGGCTCTGAGGCCTGTTGGGTCATGGCACACCTGGGGAATGCGCCCCTCTCTCCTCTGAACCCTCCATGTCAGGCTGGCCAGGGCTTTGGCAGGCTACCCAGGAGATACTGCTAGCCAGCCATTCTTTAATTGTTGGCACACATCTTTCACATTAGTGATTAAGAAACAATTTGAATCAGGGTAATTTTTGTCATCATACAGAGCTAGGGTTGTAACACAACTTCTTCAAAGGTTTAGAAAACTGAACACCAATTTTGCACTTATTGGCTAAAAAAATCAATGAAGTTAATCATAAGGCTCAGAAGATGAGGAACATTTTTAGTTGTGGTAATTCACAATAGTGGGAACATAAGTCTTTCATAGGCTGGGGTTACTGGTTAACATGCTAAGTAGGAAATTGCTTCAGTGCTGGCTTCTCCACTACTGAGACTCCGGGCCAGTTCTGCCCTTACTGTAATAATCCAGTTTGTTATTGGACCCTCTGAATAAAACACTCAGCCACTTGGCTATCAAACACAATATCCTATTGCTAGTTCTAAAAGGGTTATGCTTTGTTTTTCAACAGTTTTATTTAGTCAGTTTTCTGGCTATGCTTGGGCAATCTTATTTTCCAGTATTTTAATTTTGTTTTTCCATTTTCTTCTTCCTAAGGCTACATAAGCTATTATGTGTCCCTGCAGAGAGGCTTTATAAGCCTACCAGTGTGTGGCAGGGGTATTTGTGTGTCTTCCCCTTTGTTGCTGGGGAAAAAAAAAAGAAAAGAAGAGTATTCTCTATTCTGGAAAGTATTCTGATTTCTGTTGAATGATTCAGTGAACCCTGCCTTATTAGAGAACCATAGTTCAAGCACAATTCAGAAAGATATTTAATCTCCTTAGCTCGCAGAAGCATTTCTATCTGCATGATAAAGCAGCTCATTCCTACATGCGAGTCATGAACACTTGAGTAATAGGTATACTGTTCTGCACTACGGAAGAGTACTGCCAAATTTTAGGAAGGCTTACTTCTGAAGGAATTTTATTTCATGCTCTTCAGCCCTTGTATAATCATGAATCAAGGTGGAAGAACGCTTGCAGAATTTTATTTGTGGCATATAAATCCCTATTCCATAATAGCTATCAGAGAGGTTAAAACAACTGCAGTCTGTAAAGAAATTTTCAAGATGATTGTTGAAGCTTGGTATTTCAAAGCTTCAGGTGCAGTCTGATAATTATGATTTTTTTGATAGCCAGTATTGCTAACATGTATTTAAGACTTTTGGCTTAGACAGGTTGGATTTTTTATTTTGTTTTAAAAGAGATTATTAAAAGCATAAAGGGAAGGAAGCTCCTCTCATTTACACACCTAACTTTTCCTTAATGAAACAGGTCTCGTAAAATAAGTGCTTACGTCTCCTAAAGACTCTGTAGAGGGAAGTGCCTCAGAGGTACCCAGAGGGAGAAGTTAGGTGCCTAAGCTTTATCGGAAGACGTACTGCCTGTCCCGCTGATTCTGTGGTATTGCTCCCTGCAACAGGTTGTTCAAACAGAGCTCACCTCATGGCTGACCCAAATGCATTAACAGATTTGATACAACAAAGAAATTGGCCCCAGTAAAGTCACCTGCTAATGAAGAAGCACTTACGGTTAGCAGAATTAACACCTGGCACTGTCTAGGGGGGGTTGAAATAAACTCCTTCAAATGGTAATGCAAAAGGATTATTCAGGAGGTAGTTCACAACAGGTCCTATACAGCTGAAGTGAGGAATATAGTAACTCAAAGCATTATGCAAAACCCCTGAGATAAAGGCAGAAAACATCCCAGCAACATCTTTTCCTGCCTCTGCCATATACAGCCTTACTCAAAAGATCTTATGGACAACAGCTTTTATGGCTAATTCTTATGCTGACTAAGGAGAGCAAAGATGCACGCAGAGCTCTGCAAGATACAAAGTTCCCCTGTGTGAAAGAGGCCAGTGTAGGTCAGCAAAGATAAGCCAAGAAACCTACTGCTGGGTTTTGGGAATGAGGCCAGGTTCTTCTGCTTCACAGCCACGAGAATTACTGCAAGGGCATGGCTGGATGTAAGAGAACAGAGAGTGATCTTGGAAACCGCCTTGATGTCCAGACAGAAGTATCTTAAATTCAACCAGAAAAGCTTTTGAAATTCAAGGCTCCAGCAACCTTGACATTCACAGTCTGCTTCAATACTGGGAAATTCAAACATGTTCAGGAACATTCTGGGTCACTGGACCATGATCACCTATGCGAGCAAGCTGGCAGATCGCTCCCTGGCCAGTGCGTGGCCTGTTTGAGTTGGCTCTCTGCGCCGGGGCCATTAGGGCGCATCGCTGCGCTCGGGGCCCGGCCCATCCCCGCCTAACTCCTGGCTGTAGGGAGCAGACCAGAGACAGCCCCAGTGTGCGGCCCGTGGGCAGCCGCCCCGTTTGGCAGCCAGGATGGCTTGCTAGCACAGACACTGGCCGCTGCGTGCCAGCTGGCCTCCCTGCCTCGGAATATTCCCAGGCATGTTTAGTTTGCTAATGTGGACGTAGCCGTAAGGAGTTTTCTGCACCACCCATCGAACACGGCCATCTGTAACAACTTGTGTGTGTCGTCCAATTACGAAATAGAAATTAAAAGATATTTCGTGGAAGAAATCAGTCTTCGAAGAGGAGGACACCTGGATTGTATGAGCAAAATTGGAATTATGGATGGGACTGGCCAAATCTCAAGATCATTTATATATAATTAAATACTATGTGCAATTATTCATTTCAGAATGTTGATTGCCTTCATAAGGTGTAATGAATCTTTTCAAAAAAACTGCATGTATGTACTTTACTGAGCTATTATAATGCTTCCCTTTGTAACATCCAAGCACTCTTCTCATAAGCACCTGGTGACTGCCATGCCTTTGATAGCCGTCACTGGTATCTCTGGTCTCCTCCATCTTCCCCTTCAAGGGTTATGGGTATGGTGGAAGATGAAGAGCAGTTGCAGAATACGTTTTTCTAACTGTTTGATTAGAGAAATTCCAGTCTCCACATTTATTTTTTAAATAGCCTTTTGCAAACTCCAGAGAGTATACATTCCTGTGCTACCCTTCACACCCTTAAAAGTCATTGCATAGACTGAGTAGACGGAACATCAAATATACAACTCCCTTTCTGTCAGTGGGGTACTCACTAACTCTGGAAACCAATGCTCTAATTTTGGATAATTTGTTATGCCAACAAATTCCCTTACACAGCTTGCTTCAGATTAGGTCGTGAACCTGCATTATTCTTCTAGTGCTTTGAAGATTGCATCAGGTTGCTTTCTAAACTGGCACGAATTGTTGGATTTATTACTTGAATAACAGGGCTTGAAGAAAATACTTTGCCACAAATTGAGATTCAATTGTGCTCGGCACTATATAAACAGAACAAATGCGTTATTTCACTTATTTAATAGTTAGGGCTTTGTATGTATTCTTTTAAGGAGACAACAGATGGGTACAATCAGGCAGATGGGGAAACATAAGAAAACTAAGGACTGGGCAGCACAATATGGATGCTATAGAATCTAACAATTCATTTTTTGCACATCAGACTAACTGCAGTTTTATTTTTTGAAGCATTACTTCATAAAGGACAAACAGAACTGCAGCATACTGTATACCTTAGGGAATTTCTCTCCCTTTAACCAATGCCATAATACACAGTTTACCTGTAGATGATAACCTGCACTATTATTATGCCAGACATCTCAAATACTTCTTTGTGCAATGGCATCATCAATCCAGTCCCTTCCTTCTGGTTCATTTTTTGCTGTGCAATCTATGCTATTTCAGTCGTGTAAGCTTCATAAGGCACTCACTCATTGCTGCATTATTTGAAGGCTAACTGAATTCACTTTGTTTCTTACGAGCAGGCTAAAATCTGATCAAGATGCACAGGAATCTAAGTCATTTGCATTTTCATTGCACTGACATTAGTCTGCTTGAGATACAGTACCTGGCTGTGCTTTCTACCCATGCATGCACTTATATGCTTCCAATATCAACAGCAAAGCTTATTAATAAAGACCTACTACTCTGAAGGGCAAAGCCTAACTGAAGGAATAGCGAGAGGGCATTCCTCTACCTTAGAAATATAACTAATGGTTCTGATTATTGTCCTCCAGCTTTATGGCAAGCTGTGTAAGACATCACTACACTGTGCTCGTCTCTTTATCCATCTACTACTACTTAACTCTCTGCAGCAGAATTCATCACCCACTGGTTCCTCAGTCCCAGTTTAAACTTTGCATACAAGGACAATGAACTACAGACCCTATCAACATAGCATGGCAAGCACTGGTAAAGACAGTGAGCTGGATACCAGGAAGTAGTTACCAATGCCAAAGCCAACAGATGAGGTCTGAGCACCTATACTGAAGAGTCTTAACTCCCTACATAATGAGTTGAGAGATGTAGGTACCTGCAGAGGGACAGAGCACTTGAGTAGATGCCTAACTTCAGCTGTGCAGGTATTCTCCAGAATAAAGCAGCATTCTTCACTTCATCTCAGGCGCCACCAGGTGTCCCTAAAGAATAATTCTGTATGGTATTCTTTCTCCCCACGGATTTTTCCTTAGATAATGTGTTTGTGCTAATGGATCACCTGAAGGCTGTTTTCCATAAAATTCAAATAAATACCACAATAGATACGTTTACGTATAGACACATTTATAAGGCGTGTTGTTTAGGATGACTCGGCTAAAGGAGATCTATTGTATCAACAAATACAGTGCCTTCATTTGAATGATCCTAAATAAAGTACTAAGGATAACAGCCCTCAAGATGGCCCAGGAAACTTCTAAGTTTGCCCCCACTACTGAAAAACTCTCCCAGTTTCCATGAAACCTTCCCTAGATTTTCATGTTTAATAAGAATGAACCATGAAAACAATTTAATGGGTTTATGTAAATAACTGCATGTTAATTTTTAAGGTTTCCTTCACTATTAGGTCAAGATTTAGCATTATCTATGGGCAATTAAAGCATTTAGGCATACATGTATTGAAAATAACGTTAGACGATTAAAGAAGCATATTCATTCAGCATCACTTATTATTTACAAGTCATTACATAGGACGTAACATTTCATGACCACATATTCTTTGCCTTCCCCTAATTCATTTTTTTCCCTTGAAAACAACCTCTCAGATTTGGGTCAGGACAATTATGGAATATGCTGCAGTTCTTCCAAATCCATCGATCCTAATTTTTATTTATTTATGACATAAATCTCATTTTATGGCTCATTCAACTATATGCTGGAAAGAGGACAGTCTGTATGAAGAAGCAACTATTTTATGCTGACCTGTTTTAATAGGAGAGTGATCTTAATGATCAGAAGTTCCCTTGTTAACAATAATAATACTTCGGCTTGGATCTTTGCTAGGAATAAGTAATACTGCCTAATAATATTGCTTGAGATACTAGAAGATTGAGTGGGTAGAAGAATAAGGTTAGCAAAAAATACAACAAGTGCATGGCACAGGAGCATGGCTGCTATTACTGCTCTCGTCTGTATTGTGGAATCACCCAAAGACTATCACAGATCAGAAGACCCACTGAGCCAAAAAAAGCCAAAAAAACAAGTAGTTCACCCAAAACCCCTACATACACTTTTTGCAAATTCTGCTTCTGTGTCCACTTAAAATAAATACATGAAGATAGCTAGTATTATAAATGTTAAAAATTATATTAGGCCTGGACATTCCAGAAATAAATTATATTCAGAAAGATTCTGTTTTTGAAAAATCCTGTCTGTCATCTGAAATCATTCTTCGGAAACTCTGTTAGAGACCTTGTGCTACTTCTCCAATATATTTACTTCTGCTAATTCATTACGCTTTTTCTCCTAATTATTTCAAGGCTGGAACACTGATTTAGTTTCATGCATTAAGTTGACGAAGATCTCATAAGAAGACTATTCTGACAATCTTGCAAAAAGGGGAAAAAAATGACTTTTTTTTTTCCTTGTGAGAAATGTGTTGTGATTCTGTTAGGTAATTTGAATGATGAAGACCCATTCCTTTCCTCTAACTTGTATCAGCTTCCCTACATGTTCCCAGTTAGACTATTTAAATTTTGCCTTCATTTTAAGGTTTTAAGTATGGACAAACACAGGTTCCAACACTGAGCACAGCGCTCAGAGGATGTTCACATTAGCATTTAAGTTTGGATCAAAAGTGTTTTTTCTAAGTCAATCTGCTGATTGTCCTACTTAGCATACTTTCGTTGTCATGGCTGAGCAGCACCAGAGAACACAAATAAGACTATTTTTCAATGAAATTGAGCCAAAATATGCCCTCAAACCATTTCTTAACGATTAGCTTATCAGACATAACCAGGTCCAATCTGAAGCACCCCTCTCCAATACAAACAGTGGTGACATAAGGCCCTCACGCAATAGCCCTGCTTTCCAGACCTACTCTAATTTGTGCTGTACCATGCTAATGCAGACACAGCAAAGGAGAACTCTGCTTTAGTCTCCATACTTTCTAAAAGAGAATTTGGATGGCAAAGGCCTTCTGAGACCCCAATGTGCACCATTAACTAAGAAGAGCAGGAGCAGATTGCATGAACTTCTAATACTCTGAGAATTATCCAGTTGTTTTAAAAAACTTTAGAATTTGTTAATGTGTATTCAGGGCCACAGAGCGCACATCTTAAATGTGCAAATGCTTCATATTCTGCGTCACCTTATAATTACTTAACTCCTACATAGGTACAGTTCTGCTGAAAAAAACAGTTGCAGGCTGAAAAAAAAAGCAGAGAGATTACTGATTAACCTCTACTACATGCTCTCAAGTTCTTGCATCTCTAAATAGACGGTAATTGCAGCAGCTGGTTTCGGTCATGGTCTTACCCAGATGCTAGCAGGTCACTGACAGGGTTCCAGGCACAGATGAACACCTCTGATTCATGGCCCCGAAGGACTGTTGCTTTGTTAGGAGGAATTTCAACATCCCCGTCAATTTCCATTGGCTTTGAATGATTATCTGTAAGGAGATATATCAGAATAAGTAATTTACAAGGGTCTGCATTAAAAACAGCTGTCTACCTGTGGCCTAGAACTTAAAGCAACATATACACTACAAATACTGTTCTGTGTTGTGTCACTGACCCTATTATTCTATTTTCTTCCCTAAGGTGATTCACAGTTATGATATTTCCTCAAAATTTAGAGATTTTGAAAATATTCTGTATAAATGTATGTAGCTTTATATTTCAATAGGTAGCATTTATTTCCGTATAGTTTTTCTTGAAGCTGGCTTCATTAAAATCAGCTGACAGATTTATTAAAGTATGACATTGCTACATTTCAGAAAAGCTTTACGCTGTTCTTCTAAAAAAGCAGCATACAACACATTATTTTTCTTAGACAGTATCCAGTTAGAGTATGTGGGGCTACTCACAGATGAAGGATTTATCAAGTGAGTGTCTAATGCCCTGAGCACAGCAGGGAAATAGTGAGTGATATCCTTAAAAAGGGGATCAAATTTAGGGGACCAGCTGATGTATAGACATACGTAACCTGCGTGCTGTAATTCTGGAGTTGTTTAGACTACAGTATAAGCAACCTTGTTTCTATAAAGCTCTTTTATTTCCTTAAGGAAAAAAAAGAAGTGAATTTTAAATGATGAATTTCTCTTAGCGTCAACATTTCATTCCAATTCGCACCGTAAACAATGTTTTCACTCCAGATTTTCATTGCTTCAGTATAGATGTTCATCATTCAGCTCAAACGACGCCTCCTGGCAGCAACACAAGATTACTGTCCTCGTGAAGGAGACACCAGTCAAGGGCAGATAAGGCAGCGGAACAACGGACAGATGTTACGTACAGCAGTGCAGCCCATTTCACAGAAAGCACATCCAAGAGCAGGCATCTGGCAGGCTGTCAGGGAGGCAGCCTCGTGTTATCTCATCGATGCCTCGGCCAGCTGATCTGCTCTGATTGATCAAAATCCAAGTTCTCATTCTGGGTTAAGTCTTTTAGTTAGTCATTCTTTAATCACATATGGAGATCCATAGGTTCACAAGTAGAATAATTATGCTCCTTTATTGCCACATGTTTATGGCATTTAGAATCAGCCATCTGTCCTGATACTCATGCTCTGTTGAGCTATTGCCCACTGACTGGCAAAACAGACTGTGATGTTACACAACTGCCATCAGAAGGAAGATCTCCAGATTTCTACCCTTACCCATGCTTTCGAATACCCTGGTTTGCTCTAATTTATGCTGACTTGTATATGTATCACTGTGTATTTGGGTAGGTACCCTATTAACTGTGCCTGTGCCATAGCTATGCCACAGATTCACGACTAACTCAATGAGTTTCATAGCACTGAATGTTAACATTTGAAAACAACTAACTCGTGTCACAGTTCACATTCTGAATTCAACATACCTGTACTCGTAACAACATTTATTACTGATGGGCTTGTTGCATAAAACTAAACATATTACAAATGCCTATTCACAAAACCTACACCTGTGCTGAGTCCCTGCATTAAGCATTGTCCTTGATAACTCCCTGTATTAAAATTAATACTGTCAGGTTATACTAGTACTTGAGATATAGCCTGACTTTTGCAGCTGGAACTCTGATATGATGTTCTGAGTAATCAGGGCACTAAAGAGCAAAGTACTCTTAAAGCCAACCAGAAGATATGAGCCTAGAACTCCTCCTCTGTGTCTCACTGCAATGAAAAATCACCAGGTTTAAAGCACACTTTGATGAGAAAAACAGCAGCATGGTAACTATTATGTATTCATGCGTGTCTTGCTCACAGTGTGAGTTGGAAGCTGAGGCTAAATCAGGAAGTAAGATCTTCCAAGTGTTTTAATTTGAAAAATTTAAATGAGATGCTACTCTTACCACATACGATCCTCCTGTTACCTGCCTGTCTCTAAAGGCAGATCTGCTTTTCACTCTTGAACAAAACCAAATGATGGCTTGGAAGCAGTGTTACTCCAAGGTCCTAGAGTTATGAGGTGCTATCAGAGCAAGGCCGTCTGATACTTAGAAGCATTTTCTGCTTGTACATGGCCAGATGGAGGAACCTACACAGACACTTTGAATATTATTAATTACTGTGAAAAAAAAAAAAAAAAACACACAAAAAACCAAAGTGCTATGGAAAAGAAACCTCGATCCTTGATCAACTGCTACCTGCATTAGTACACACAAGACTGACTGGCCCTAGAGAGCAATGGTATACCTGCACAATTACTTCATATTATTTTCCACTACTGATTTTGACACCATAGCTTTAATGGTTCAGGAGAATGAAGGAAAGATGATTAGTCTTTCAGTAATTGTTTGTAATTACTTCCTGTTTTCATTGGTATTTAAATACTGATGTTAAGGAACATTTATACTTAAAGGGCTAGTCTTAAGCACAGAATTTAAAATACCACATTGAATAAACAGGATGCTTCTTATTTCTGTGATACTGCTTTCGGCTCTTTTCAGATTTGTAAGACACTGGCAATACAAAACTGGTATGATGAAGTTGTACCAAGTGCAATGGATCTTCACAGGTGAAAAGCATAGCCTGTGGGTCACATATTGGAGAATGGTGCTTAAATGTTAATACAAACTATTTTCTAAAGGCCAGGGGATCTTTGGCTAAGACTTCATTATATTCTTATGCTTTTCCTCAAACATATTAAAAATATAAAACCACTGGAAATTAAAAGTTATATTCCCCCTCCCCCAAAGTTATGATCTTTTTCTTTTTTAAATATAATTTTAACACACTAATGAGTAATTCCAACTCTCTCTTTTTTTTTCCAGCAAATGAAAAAAATAATATGTATTTTTAAGATCTTACCAGTGCTAACCCTGACTTTTCTCAGGAAATGTTTTTTGACTTAAATCTTTGACAGGCCATTCATTGAAGTTGTTCTTTATGGCTGTAGTTACAATAAAGGAACTGGGTTCAGTCTTTTTTCCAGAGCTTTATTTTTCTTAAACCCAAGCCAATCCTTGCAAATATAATGAAACAAACGACAGTAAAAAATATTTGAGTTGGAAAACAATCCAAAGGTTGGCTCCATTTCTAAATGCCTCTTTTTTTTTAAACTAATTTTTAAAGTGACTCAAAACTGAAAACATTATTCAGGAAGCAGCATGAGAGGGTAGCAATTTTATCTGTTTTTTTTTTTTTTTTAAATCTGCATCTCAAAGTGTTGTTAGTATAAGATTTTTCCTGTCTCTCCCTTTCTTAAATCAAATGAACCTATCACATTACTTGTAATACATAAAAATATATCATATTATACTATATTAAATATAGTAATGCTTTTTTGGGAAACTTGTAGCGTCAAGGAGAACTCCGTGTCAGAATAAATGCAAAAAATGTAACTTCCAGATAGCTCCTCCACCTGCTCCCCACCCCACCTTTTTATGACAGATTGACATGGGTGACTTCCAGACTATGCCTGAGGACCAGCACACTCCCCAAGCCCATCCCAGTATATACCAGTCCTGTGGAATCCAGCAACAGTGGAAATTAAGGTTTGCTAAGACTCTCACCTCTTTCATATCAGCAGTCTTTCCTACCCAGGTTTCTCAGCTTCCACCTTACCCATCTTATGTCCCATCTTAACCTTCTTCTGAACCTATCCTAAACCTTTTCTCCTAATGTCTTGCCAGATCGTTCTTCTTAGTACATCCCAAACTGAACAGACTTTCTAGACACAGTGATAAGGCAGACGGTAAGGCTGGATATACAGTTTGCCACGTGTAAACAATAAAATGGACGGGCATTGCCTTTTTGTTAAATCATAACATATTTTTTTTTAACTTTACCATAAAGGAAGGAAATGTAAGCATAAGATCACTAACCAGACCTATGCAATAAACAGATCTATGCCAGCTAGATCTGCTATCTGCTAGTCCTTATTTCTAGTGGTTTCTGATCATTACTGAGGAAGATCTCTTGCAGTTTGCACAGGTCTGCTCAAAGGTGAGAATGTTAGTTGTGCAGCTCTGTACGCATCTCACATGCATAATTCTCAGCCTGCAGCTGTGCTACACGACCTTGCCGACATCCTCTGAGTGACTCAGACAGAGAGGTTACGGTCCTCCCAAGGCAAGGGAGACACAGATCAGAGAGTCAGCTGTCCCTGGATTTCTCAGCAGTTTCTCTCCAAAGCCTCCTTCTCCATAAACTGCAGACCTCACCTCTTTGCCCACGATGACCAGGTGGCACAACAGCAGCTGCCAACAAGACGTGCCACCTGGCCAGCTACTCCTCAAGAGCCTTTTGTCTTCCCACTGCCACTGCTCTGTTAACTTGTCTGCCTGGCAGGCTCCATAGCCACATCAGTGCTTTGAAATTTGCAGTCGGGTAGCCTGTCTCATTGTTTGACATAGATCCTGCCTCTGTGAAACTGCTGGACAACACCCATGTCCTGCTCTTGCATCCTGCTCCAGACAGAGCTCTTAGATGATACAAAGTCATATGGGACTTTTCCTCCTCGGTACTCCAAGAAAGGTCTGCAAATGTGTGTGAAACTCCTATTAAAAACCACTGTGAGAATGATTATTTCTAATAATAACATGGCAGATCTGAGAGACTGAGGTTTACAGCGCGGTCACACATCTGAACTGATCTGCAAGGCTCTCCTTTTTTTAACACAATACCATGTGTGCTTCTTCAGATCAGAGGAAGTAAGTCTGAGAGGTTCTGCATTTGTGATGATCTGATAATTGGTTTTCTGCCTTCAGAATTTGTTTTCTGTCCTAAGACAGAAGAAGGCAGAAAATTTTTTACCAGTGGGCTGAAGGAAAGGGTCAACAAAAACAAATTTCAGCACTTGATACATTTAAAAGTACTTTCATTTCTGTTTGTACCCCTTTGTATATGAAGTAAGTTCAGTTTCAAAACAAAGGATCAGCTTCAAGTAAAACGTTAACATTTCATGGTCTAAAAACAGGTGGCATTTTGGAATTTTTCAGAACTTAAAAAAATGCTTTCTCAAAAGCAAATGTAATTTAAATCCTTTCAGTGTTATTGAGGAAAACCATCCTGTCTAACTGGAATTCTCTGAAGAAAAACCTGGTTTGAAAGCATTTTTCTCACTGACCCATAGAGGAACCTATTCAGGTCGAAGAGAAGACAGAGACTGATAAAGGCATCTACACTGCAGAACAAAGAAAATCTGTTACGTGACAGCAGTCTTGACCTGTTATTTGTCTAAGCCAAAGAGCTCTTGGGGTTTCCTACAAAACCTGCCAGGCACGTTCCTCTAGCATTTTTTCTGAAGGAAATCATGCATGGAGGTTTCATTTCAGATGTTACCCAGTGCCCTAATATGGCTTGCACACAGAAACCAGAACCATGAATCACATCTGCTCCGCAATGTTAGCACAGCCATCGAGATTTAGCTACACCCACAGCTACGTGCACTCCTTGTTTTATATGCCGAACGTTAGATGTCTAGGACATGAGCTCAGTCTGTCACCAGTAAAACAAAGGTGAATTCAGAGCTTGTGAGGACTGACTGTTCCCATAGACTAAGGAAGCCCAGGGAAGGTAGGACCTTCACTTAGATTCCTGCAGTAGACTGGATGACTAAGCATGTGCTGTGAAATAAAAAGGCAAGGAAGTCTCTCCTCTGTGCCTTAAAAGCAAGTTGACTGCTTCCAAACTGTCTGCTGGGAGTGGTCCTTGGCTCATACAAGCCTCTACCCTGTTTTTGGCCATGCTGTATAAGAAAGGATAGGCCAATCTGTGCCAAAGACCATGACAGTAAGGCTATGGATCATCACAGGGTAGTTAGTGCTCAAGGCTATGCTTTGGCCTTGCTTTATTTACACAAATATGGCTTGTAGGTCCCAGCCTCTCAACCCACCTCTCTCTAGCTCTACTCCATTTGATGACACTGGATTCAACTTGCACTTCTGAAGGTATCTGAGGATTTTGGATTCTGAGAGCACACCAGCAAAACACAGCATTGTGACAGGAAATGTGAGGTTTACTCAGAAGCTTTTCCAGAAATACCCCATCCTCCTGAAGTAATTCCCCTGAGTTCCAGCACCTTACAGACCCCAACTGAGTACAAGACGGTTATTCAAAATCAAATCTACCCCAGCAGAGGAAAGCAGCTGCAGGGGTTGGCTTACTTATTGCATGTGCCCCATTCTCCTCTCCATTCACAGTGGCTTCTCCGTTCTTTGGTGTGTTCTGCTGGGAAACAGCAGTCGTCGTTGCTCCCGCTGTTGCTGCCGTTGCTGCCGCTGCTGCCGCTGCACTGGCTTGTTGCTGAGCTAGTTTCTCTCTGAATGCTTGCTGCCGGGTCTGTACAACATCAGGCATCACCGCGTCTATCAGAGACAGTGATTCTATTGGCCTGCCGTCAAATACTGTACCATCCTGCGGGGAAAACGAGCCAAAGTCAAATTGCAGGTTTAGGATCCCCACCACTGAGGTTGGCAAAGAGGCAATGTTATAAAGGAGCAAAACTAGGCTGGGAGAAGACACTGCGGTTCGACCTAACCAACTGCGCCACACCACTACAGAGCAGCCCTCTCTCAATGCACCATGGTGGTACTCAGAGATCTGCTCTGTGAAGGGATAAGTTATTGGAACTGTACAGAAAGAGTCAGGCATCTGAACTCTTTACAGAAGCAAAAATATTATGCTATGAAAATAAATTGTCTCAGTGACAGAAGGTGTCTCTTTCTTTAGTATTTTGACAAAACCAGCAATGGCTAAAGCCATTACAAAGCCAGACAGAGACAGACCTTGGTTCATGGTTTGTCCTCCTGCACTAGCAGGGACATATGACTGGAAGCAGTAGACGAATAACAAGTCTCAGGCAAAACAAGTGTATGTGCAAATTCACTGGTTTCTTATATCACATTCACCAGCCCAGTACCACCAGTTGTAGCTGACTGTACAGGACTTATTTACCATCGTTTTTCTTGGTTTTCCCCAGTTCCATTAACAGTAGTTACAACTCTCATTTTCATTTCTGTAAATTAGGCTTCAGGTTTAACAACCAACTGAGTTAACCTTTAAGGGTTAAAGACATAATGCAGGCTCGGGTTAACAACTACTATATCTACTTAGATTTCCTTCGCTTTCACTTTCCTGTCACCATAATTATGGGAAAAATGTTTTAGAAGGCTCTATACTGCAGCATTTTACTGACCTTCTGCAAACTCCATCTAATTGAAATAAACAAGACTCAGCAGTGAAAGATTTGGGTTTTAGGAACAGCACATAAGGTTTGGATATGGACAGATGAGGCAGCTGGGAAACAAAATCATTTTCAAGAGATACCAATAACTAATAAGGAAAAATAACAGTTTGGCTTAGTAGTCTGCTTCTGTTGGAGTACTCATTGAATTATCCCTTACAATTACATTGTTAAAATAACACATATTTGTTTCCTTATGGGGAGGAAAAAAGAGGAAAGAGTCATTAGAGAAGACAAATGTAAGTTCTCTTTCTCCTCAACATTTTTTATGCAAATGTCTCTATAGCCATTTATTTGAATCCTGGCTCAAGTCCTTGCTACACTATGAGGAAAAAAATGTTTGCCAATGAATTTTGGCATCTTACATTTTTAACTGTAAAATTGCTCACTGGAGTATTTCCATAACTGTCCTTTCACAAATCACAAACAATACTTTAATTTTGTACACATAATTTATAAACTCACTGATTACTCGCCACTCTTAAGGAATATACACATAGAAGTAGATTTGTAGCCTTAATTGGCATGCAGATTGTAGAAAGAACGGCTTTTGTTTTGCTGTACGGTACTTACAACCATGAATTTGAACAGAATCAAACCCCTACGAAAGCAAAATAAATATAAGTGTGACAACAAATGCATTTTTAGATCATTCTCTCAATGGAGGCCAGTTCTGAAGCTGAATTCACAGGAGTAGGGCCTTATACCTTTTGTACAACCTGAACTAATAGGTGATTTTCCTGGTGAGCCTCTAACTGTGTAGCTCTAATATCAGGCACAGGGCAAAATGTTAAGTAGTAGCAAATTGAGACAGATTCCTCACACTGCTTTGTTATTACAACTGCATCAAAGTGCAGCTTGGCATGAATGTCAAGTGTCACTGCCCCAATTAAAAACAATACATACACAACTCTTAAACATGGTATCGAGTCATAAAGAGAAAACAATATAGAATGTTAGTGATAAAAACAAACGAGTTTCCAAACCACACATTATAAACACAGCCTTTTCGCTATTTTATATTCCTTTGTTCTCACCCGTGTCGTTCATTCTACATTCACCTATAGAGGAAAAAACAATAGCTTTCCACGTATTTTTATGTATTAATATTTATTACAGATATCTGACAAATACAAATACCTGTGGTAAATATTTCCTAAGGCAGCACTTGCTTATCTGTCATGCTCCCCTTCCTCTTGAAGCATTGTGCCTTTAAGGTTGTCAGGGCAAAAATCCTGGCTTCTCCTACATGCTCCCTTTGCTTCCCCTTGCAGTTCAGTGGGAACAGGGACACTTTGTGGCTGCTCACACAATGCACACAACCAATGACCCAGGCAGGGTTAGAATTTGCACACAATTGTTTTGGCATGTCCATTGTGGGATGCTGCCTGGTCTTTGTATGATCTGAGCCAAAGTCACTGAAATCAGAAAGGTCCAGTGACTTCAGTGAATTTTTAGTCAGGCTCCTCATGGCATGCAAGCAGCACTGTCTTCTAATAGCTGTCAGGGACTGAAGTTTTAAGCGGTATTGCACGTTTTTCCTGTCAAATTCTGCTGTCACCTTGAAAACAGAAGGCTGTAAATGCAGACACATTTTCCTGTTTGCTGCAGGAATCTGCGCACCCCTGGCTTGCTGACTGAGGTAGCTGAAACACCACAAAACCCATTTAAGCAACGCAACGGGGGCCTCAGTGCCACAGCGGAAAACTGTGCAACGTGTCTCAGAGTCTGCAGGTGGTAGGGCAGAACAGGGTTGAGGTACAAAAGGGCACCAAATGGACAGAAACTGAGGATGGGTGGCTGGTGCATCTGGCTGTCGAGGGGCATCGCTGGGCGAGCTCCAGTGTGCCGGTCGGCCATCTCAGTGGTCCCCATGGGTGTGTGGGGCTGTGGTGGCAGTGGGGGTAGTACTTATACTTACTTCGTTGATGCTGATCTCAGCCTCCACATACTGGAGCCCTTTCTGGAGGATGGAGATGAGTGCAGCAGGTGGCACTAGTGTTCCGTTGATGTTGGACTGACTGATGTGGCTCTCGATACCGAACGTGAAGGCCGAGTGGGAGAAACCTGAGAGCAGGAAAAGGAAGCCATGACATGAAATCTGAACGCACCAGCCAGATACACCTTCACGGTCTAAAAATAATCCTGCCTCAAGATCAGAAAGACGCTGCAGCATAAATGGGGGAAGGCGGGCGGGCTGCAGGCGACCCAGAGGTTAACGAGAGCCATCCTGGCGCCCCCACCACCTCCTGTCCTGTCCTGTCCTGTCCCCCTCCCCGCACGCCTCGTCTCGTGGGCAGGCGGCGTCACATGGAAATGGCAACGCACACAGAGGAGAGGAGAGCCGGCTGACTGAAAACCAAAACACAAACATGAAAAAATATGAGTCACCGCAAGGGCAAGGCCAGCTAATAATAAAAATGACTCGGATCTTCATCTTCCTTTCTACGCTTTCGTATCGGTGCTTCCTGAGGCTACAGACTCAAACCCCTGTCAGCGCGCAGGCTGTACAAAATCAGGGCCCCGATGCAGCTCACACAGGGGAGCTGCTCTCTTGTGCAAGGGAAGAGGTTTCAAATCCTCTGGTCACCACATTTATCGCTAACACGACATGCAGAGAGCTGCCATTAAAACACGCAACAACAGAAAGGCCTCTCCCGCAAACCCGTTTTCTGAAAGTGAACAGTAACAGCAAGCGTAATTAATCGCGATCAGCAATGATCAAAACAGCAGATGATGGCCCAACTCGGTGGCCTTTACTTCAACTATAATTCTTTCTTTTTGACATTTCATTTTTGTTGTTGGCCTAGACGTAACCAGTCTCGAAGTGGATCAGTTTTTGGGAGCTGTGCTGTCATTGCCACGAGGACTGGCTTGAGCGTCCGAAGGCAGGCGCCACAGACGGACCGCGCGCAGGCGATGCGGGGGGAAGGGAGCACAGGATGTAGATATAACCGTAGGAACCCATTTATCACCACGCTGTCTCCAGAGCATTAATCTAACATTAAAAGCCTTGGGGAAACCACCCATGCGCTGTCTCGAACAGGAAGAGCCCTAGCAGTCTCCACCGACCAGACAAGAGGAAAAAAAAAAAAAAGAAGAAGAAAAAGAAGGCAGCTCACAAATGAAAATACTTCCGTTAAATATAGCTATGCCGCTTCCCCTTGTCAACAGTGGTTTCATTTATAGTTTTGTCCGTTAAGGGATTTCCCCCGTATCACTGCAGTGTCCGATTGTGTGTGGGCTGGCGGATGGGATTTGGGGCTTGCTCCACAGCACTGCTTTCTCTCCCTCTCTCAAACTGTTTTCAAGGCTCTTTTTGCAACCAGCTCAATTACACTCGCAGGCAGCAAAAACAAAGAAAAAGAACGCCTCCCACGTGTGAAAACTGAGGTACGTATTTCTCCGTGATTCTCTTCCCCTACACATTTTATTTCGACGCTGTTTTTCTTCTCTTCCATGTAACAGCCTCTGTCCTCTTCTTTCCCTACCATGCCTCCCCTTCCTAGTACTTCCCCAGTTTTTTGGGATGTTTGGGGACACCTTTTAGAAAGTGTCAGCAGACTTACAAATGATTACAAGGAACGAAAACAAAGCATAGGAAAAAAAAAAAAGAAAAAAAAACTGAAAAATTGCAGTATCATTCATCTAATCCCTGGACCCCTCTTACTCTGTCTTGCTCTTTATGTCTTGTGGTCTAGTTTATGAGCTGCTGGACCTCCTGCTGCATCCAAAATAGACTGTAAGATCTGCAGGGCAGTGCTTTTGCCTTGTTATTTGTTCTGCAGAACATCTAAGCACATTTCTGGGTACCACAACAAGAAGGAAATCGAGCATTGAGCATACACAGCCTGAGTCAGGGAGACCTAGGGTTTGATGGCTGAACACTGAGATCTCTATGTATGTATAAATATACGGCATGCAACTAATCAGAATTAGGGAAACAGATCCTGCTTAATGTATATTTATGTGTATTTAAATTAAACAACAACAGTAATAATACCTTCTTGAAAAGCAGTGGACTTTAAAAGGCATGACGGATTAATCAGCCAATCTACTTAAAAATGCAGAAGACTCAGATAATTAAGCTGTTGTCCAGAAGCACTGAATTTCTAAATGCTAAAAGAGACAGTAGCTTATCTGTGAGTTGGTAGCTCAGAATTTTGTAAAATGGTCTCTGATTTGATCAAAAGGCAGGTAGCATTAAAATGGCCAACAACACACATATGGTAAAAAAGTGGAAAGCCATGACTGTGGATCTACAGCAGCCTTAATTTTAGCTATGACTTTGTACCTGTCATTAGTACATTTGGTATCTTGCAGACTTTTAGCTGGCTTCTGTCACATCTCATTTCAAGTCACATCTTTGCCAGCAGACGGGTTAATGTTGCATACAGCTAACCTCTTCGGCCAGTTGCCACATCCCTGAAGAGCAACACCTCTCACCTGACTGCGTGTGGGAAAAGGGACTTCTCAGCACAAAACCTAGAGGTGTTATTGAAATGAATCCTTTCATTTGACTGTTTTTCTCCATGATAAGAAACCGTTACCAAAGCATTCAAGAGATGACAAAACACAAAACTCTTGGCTATGTTCTCACAGAATAGCAATCTCACTCACATCTCCAGCACTTGTGACAAATTTTCCCAAAATCTTATCTGGTAAGATCAAAGTACTGAAAATCAACAGAGTGGAACTGCTTAAGTGGGTGCCGCTGGACACTGTGTTCCTCACTCCCCTTGGAAAAATCCTAACATAGCATGGTCCTAACATGGTATTTAAAAGAAAAGCAAACACCAAGAAATAACTCAAACAAACAACTGATAGCTAATTATCTCCCAATTTCTTGTATCCTGATAAACCACAGAATTTATATAATGCAACATGAAAGTACATGGATTTTAAAAGTCACACACAGTTAAGAAAATCCTGAATGAAGCTGTACCCACGTCAGGTTCCTGATAACACTGAAAAATCACTTGAGCTTCACTTTTATAGTTACCAGATGTCATCAGTTCTCTTTGGGGCTCTGTGTGCGAGTGCACTGAATTATATAGTGATGTTGCAGCTCTTTATAGTTCAGTCATATAAAAAGGTGATTTCTATTAAACGAAGGCAAGTTTCTTTTAAATGCTAGCTATTTAAATGCTTGTGTTACAAATGTTAACTTGGCCCTCCTTCTGAAGTTCATGAAACCACATTAGGAAGCGCAAAGCCAAGAAACCAGCACACCACCCCCTCAGGTGACTGTGCAGGCTGTCAAGGCAGTCAGGGAGCGAGAACAGCAGGAGAACGTGCTCAGCAAACGGGAGTCTTAGGGACAGATGTGACAGGGACGATATGCAACAGCAGACCAAAACTCGAAATGCTGCAGTCGCAGGGAAATGAATGAAAGAAGGAAGTTGCAGATCTGTGTCCACCATATGTATCACTTCTCATAAATTCTCTCAGTCCAGTGATTATAACAATCACTCTATAAAACATTGATTTATACCCAAATAGCACCAATAACCGAAGTCTTAACGTCGTATATCCTTTGAGGACATATGCTATGAGACTCTGAGCTTTTAAGATTGAAGATGTGAATACAAAGAGCTGAAGGGGAGAGACCATGGCCACATCCTGAACTGGTTTTGCACCAGTGAGACCAGTGAGTCACTTCTGCAGTGACGGGACTGCTACCCTAAATGTCATCATTCAGCAGACTTGAGAGGATGGCTTCACGGTCTTTCCTGCCTCAATCTAGAGAAAAGATGGGAAAACACAAACTGTCCAAAATACAATGTTTAAAATATTACCATACATGAACAAACATCCGGATGAACAGTGGGTTACCTGCAGGACTTCGTATGATCACCTTAAAGGAAGGTGATGTATCAGCTGCTGGACAGTTGGTCTTGAAAGATTTTACGGAGCATAAAAGCACAGAGGACATAATGAATGCAGAAAAAAAATAACTTTAATGAACCCCACTAAATAAAAAATTGTTATGCAAATGTTTTTGACTTGAAAAGTTAAGTGAAATTCCTCATTTAGAGATTCCTGCACTTCTGTACTGACAGTGATAACAGATCCTGGTTCTGCGCTGTATCTCTTCCCACATCGAGGTGTCTGTATATACTATCAGTGGTACATACACAGTCATTTGGGAATTCTTGCCCCAGGCAGTGCCAAAAAATGCATATGTAGGGCTGTTTTACAAAATTTCACTGATAGATTTTGCTGTAACTGCGAAAATAGAGATGATAGAGCTGTTGTGTGTGTTTTTTTTTATAATTTATTTTTTTCTTCCCCTTGGCTGCTCCTTTTTCAGTTAAAAATGGCCTCCTCTTAACACAGCATTTGCCACTGATCATAGAAGGACGTGTTTTTGTTTAATGAACGTAACACTGCTCTTTGTGTGCCGATTTGATCTACAGGCTACATAATTTTGATCATTTACAATATGCCTGGCTCGCAGCAGCGATGCCTACCAAATGCAGGCACAGGAGAGAGAGCTGGGTTACCATGCAGCCCAGAGAAAGCCTTGCCTTCTCCAGAGATGTGCCTCACCTGGTCTGAGGGTTAAGGATTCCTCCTTTTAAGCACACAAATGGGGTGCTGCTGTGTATTCCCCATGCTACTTGATCTGGCTATGATAGATTAAACTGACTGACATTCCCTAAGTGCTCCCTTCATTTTCTGATTCCTTTAGCATCGTAAAAAGCAGCCTTGTTTAAACTGCGACCTTAAAGTGCAATAGCTACAGCACTTACTGCTGCATCTGTGCAGGCAAGCAGAGTGGCAAAAAAGGGTCTGCAGAAGCAACACTTTCCCAAGTATTTCAGTCTTAGCTGGTTACTTGAGAGGCCATAATTGGCAATAGTTAAGCTGTCTACTGAATACTGTGCAATTCTTCTGTTTGTGAACTAAGCAGATTTTTTTCCTTGTAAAATTCACTTAATATACTGTTCATTTTTTTATTTTAAAAAATATTTTCTCTCAAAGGTATTTCCAAATTACTCAGATTAATTATTCATACTATGTGATTCTTCACTGAAACATTTGTTACTGTAGAATGAAACAGA